GGAGCCACAGGGATGCGGTCCTTCGGGCGAGTGACAGCTGGGAGCCCAGGACGTTCCTCCAGGCTGCTGCCGGGCCGCGCACAGCTCACAGGAAGTGACCGTCCTTACTCTCCGGCAGTGATGGCGAACCTATGACACGCGTGTCAGAGGTGATGCGCAAACTCATTTTTTTGGTTGATTTTTCTTTGTTCAATGGCATTTAAATATATAAAATAAATATCAAAAATATAAGTCTGTGTTTTACTATGGTTGCAAAGATCAAAACATTTCTATATGTGACACGGCACCAGAGTGAAGTTAGGGTTTTTCAAAATGCTGACACGCCGAGCTCAAAAGGTTCGCCAGCACTGGTCTACGGCCACGCTGTGCTCTTGACACGGAAAGCGGGTGGCTCAGGGGGATTCCTGGGGGGCAGGGCGGTTCAGACACCGGGGAGGGGAGGAGGGGGAAGGCCGATCCCTCGGGCGATATGGCGCTTGCTGTCCGGCAACCAATCGACCTTCCTTTACAGCCACAGGCTCGAGGGCCCGAGACCTCGGGCTCCGTGTCTGACGCCACTGAGACCTCGCAGCAGCCTGCGTGGCAGCCGGATCCTATCCGTGTCTGGGGAGCTGGCCTGGGACATGGAGGCGGTGCGGCCGGGGTGCGGAGCGGGTGGGAGGCAGGGCCCCCGGGGCTCAGAGAGCGGGGCGCCCTCCTCCTGACCACACTGTCCTCTGACTTATTCGGACGGGAGTTTCCCCCAACATGTCACATTTAAACCAATTCTGTTTAAAAAATACAACTCACCGGGCACAATTCACTTACCAAAGATCTACTGAGCACCTACCACATGCTTGGTAATTGTGTGTGTATGCATGAGTGCACACACGTGTGTGCGTGCATGAGCGTGCACGCGTGTGAGTGTGCATGTGTGCATGAGTGTTCATGTGTGCGTGAGTGTGCATGCTTGTGCGAGTGTGCACACGTGTGAGTGTGCACATGCATGTGCACGTGTGCGTGCGTGCATGTGCATGCACGCACGAGTGTGCATGTGTGTGCATGAGTGTGCATGTGTGTGAGTGTGCATGTGCGTGAGTGTGCATGTGTGTGTACACTGGCTCCTGTGTCACTGGAGAGTTTAGGTTTTGCGTTTGTAGGTGACACCTTCTCTCAGTGCTATACTGTGTCTCTCTGAGCGGACGCGGACAGCTCTCCCTAACACTTTGCTAACGGAGCGCACCCCGGCGGCGCGTCCTACCTGATGACCAGGCTGGGCGGCCCCGTCCTCGGCTGCAGGGCCACCAGGTGGTCCATGAAGCTCTGGGCCTGCGCCTCCCGGCAGCCCCGGGTGGCCTCCGGGTGCAGCCCCAGCAGCTCGGCGG